GATCTAAAAGTGATATTCTAGGTTTATAATGGCGTCTAAGATGTTGTGAACCTATATATAAATGAATAGTTCTTCGGATGATTTGACCTGGACGATTTGACGTGGATATTGTACATTTTTGCCTTACAACTAAAATGGTTTGATGCAATGATGGTAATTATTGTGTCTGATAGGCAGATATGAATATAGGCGGTTAATTAGATGGTAAAATGAACCTAGAATGATGTTATACTATTATCACAGTGTTGACTGAGTTAATAGTAGGGTTGACTGGCTTTGCAATGAGGGTCGATAGGAATGCGACGCCATGGGGCCGTCAACCTGAGACTTAAGTTCTTAAATCCCGTGTGACAGTAATTTAGACCGGCACCCATGCCCTTCTGACTTTTAACAGTAGAAAAAGGCACGGTGGTAGTACTTCCCCGGGTGAATCCTTTCACATGGATTCTACTACTGCTGTTAAGCAATGAGCAGTATGAAAGTGGAACTTAATATTTTTGGATCGAGTTCGGTTTTGGCCGAATACGGTACTGCGAAATTTCTTTTAAATAAACAAGACTTTGGATAATGATTGGATACTAATGGTGGTTATATCATGTTGTTATATGGTAAGAAACTTGAAAATTGGGCCAATATTTGTAAAATTTTAAAGCCAGTATTTGGACCAACTGATAAGTAACAAGCAAAGAAACTAATTAGGACGGGAGACAATAAATTAATTCATTATTGTTTAAATTCCCTAAGTTAGACTGAAATGGGACAAATAAGCATATTATTGGAAAAAGTACTAGCTATTTGCGAGGGTCCAGAGACGGTTACTTTTTTTATTGGATAGTTCGGCAAACTGTGACAGAGAAAAAACGTGGAAATACGATTTATAATAAGTTTCAAACCTTGAGCAAGCGTTGTGATTGATGCTCAAATCTTCACCGTGTGAGAAGAGGTCTTCGATCACCAGAGGGCGTTTATAGGCTGATGATGAATTGATGATGGTGAGACCTAAGTTAAACAAAGATCTGGGTGATATGTTGACGATGATGATGCAGTAAAACCTCATTGAATCCTAAATTCATTGTTCCCTGTACTCTTGTATATGTCTCTGTATATCTGGATATGATTTCCTTCGCGAGTAGTTTTTGAAGATTAAAATAAATATAGATTGTATAAGATATTGTCTTTTTCATTGTGGAATGGAGAAATTCAGTCGAAAGCTTATAATAATAAAAGTGTTGAGTATTGATTGGAGTTTTGTTTACGTGTAAATGTAAAAAGGTAGACTTACATTTTAAACCTTTTTTGTTGGTAATAGTTATTTATATATTCAGCTTTTTAATGACTCGATTAGAAATTCAATTAGGCGTTTAAACATTTAGTTTACGAAACAGCAGTTTCACAATTTTTTTTACTTGTAAAAATGCTTTCAACATATCTCCTTTGTCATTTAGTCACATAAAAACCAAACTCCAAAAAAACTCATAGTTCAAAATAATCACGATACAGTATAAAGTTTAGGAATGTCTTTAGCAAAAGTTGGTCAAGAATAGAAATTGAGTTTCAAAAAGGAGTAAAAAGCGAACTATATTACAAAAAATAAAAAATAAAAAATAAAAAAAGTCGATAAAAAATACTTTTAGAAAATTTCGAACAAACATTTTGATATTTGCTTCGACGGTTATAAGATCTTAGATCAGTTAAAATATCAGTTTAAATTTCATCATAGTTTATCTTATATTACTTTCCAAAAAGTAAAAGTCAGAAAAGTTTTCTCTAGAAACGTCAAAATAGAATAACAGTGACTGCAGTGATAATGACTGCACGGTTGGCGCGGTGGCTGGGCAACTGGCTGCCGCGCAACGTGTCGCGGGTTCGATTACCGCACGGATGACTGTGATCCCAATCTGTGGAACACAGTCATCCGTTGTTCCGGGTCTGGGTGTGATGTGCCCACATATTTGTAACACGTTTGTAAACGCACCCACGACACAGGAGAAAATCCTAGTGTGGGGCAAAGTTTTTTAAAAAAACAAACAAACAAATAGTCAGTCAGTCTGTTTACCAGTAAAGCTAGGTAGGTACTCGTTACAAATTGTAGATTCGAATGTAAAAGAAACACGATTACAATTTTAAATAATTTAAATAAAACTATTTGTAGTGGTATAAGTTTCATCTATAAAAACAACTGTAAGTTTCAATTGATATCGAGAATCGCTTAAGAAGTTGCCAAACAAAAATTTGCAAATTTGGAGGAGGGATAGAACAGGGTGTTCAGTTCCACATCCTCCATTGAAAAGGGAGGATACTCCGACCAGATTGGCGTTATACCTGGACTGTCAGACTGGCAAGATTTTGTATGTATGCGATATAGAAACTTGAAGGTGATTGGTGCTGTTGCTACATGTTCTGCGGTAGATGTCGCTTTACAAATATCAAAAGTTTATTTAAACTTTCTAAAAATCATAAGGTCTTTTAAAGAACTGAACTTTTAATACCATTTAAAACTAAGAAGCCAAAGCGAAAAGCTACAAGAATGATAGAAAAACTATTATAAAAATATGAATAGGATTAAAGATGGGATTAAGAAATCCCAATGTCGTATGGAAGACTTTTTGATGGGGGATTAAAAGGGTGTCCTGTTAACTAGTGTCATATGTTTTGGAGGATAGGTAATGAACAGTAATGTCACTTAGATTTTTCAAAGAACCATATACAGATTCACTATACAATACGTTATATGACAACTAGTCAAATTCAATACTTTTATATTTTCGGCCTATTCACGTAATCATTTGACGAGGAACTCGACTACATAGTTTCAAGCCATGCTAGAGGCCCATATTCCTCGTCAAATGATTACGCGAATAGGCCGAAAACATAATAATTAATTTAGTTTGTCTCACGAAATTTATAATAAAAATATAGACACTTCTTAAAATGTAACCAATAAAAATCTAATATTAAGTGTATCGTCAAATCCATCAATGATTTGCATTTATTTTGGAGTATTTAATTGTATTTAAATCTTGAAGGAATTTATTTTTGATTGAGAAAAATACCCAATTAGTGTTCTAAAACATTGTATAGTGAATCTATTTTAGTCGAGTTTCAGCCGATATTTTGAAATATTCGTTTATATTTATTCAGGATTTCGTTATAGCCGCGATGTATTGTTTTTTTTTCATGTCAATAATTACTATGTATAAATTCCTTTAAACAACAGTATTATAAATCCACACGAACTACAAATTCAAAATAAATAAAAAATCCACGATTTTTTTTCACTAAACTAGTGATGTACTTAGGTTATCGATAAAAATAAATTAGTCGAATAGTTTTAACGATTAGTCGATTTTTTCCTTGACTGCTCATTACCTAAATCAGTTTTAGTTATATGTATATATTATATAGTTTACCCATAGCGTAGTATATATTATATATAATTCCTAAACTAACGTGGCGTAGTCATACGCTTATAAGACAATAAATATAATAGAATAATACTAATATAAATCGACGCTAATTAATTGGATATTACAATTATATATTTTTTTAATATTTTATTTTAAAAATCACATGTTTTGATTTTTACTTTTATTAAGAAAAACGATTATATTTCGATTATACCACATATTTGGAAATGTATATGTACTTGGTATTATTTTTTTGTTATTGCACATTGAAGTAAATTTTAGTATGTTTTATAGATTGTTTTTAAAAAGTAAAAATCAAAACTTTTATTTTATTACGTGCCTTACTTCTACGTACATAATACGTATTCGAATAAATATTTTATTTAAGTATAAAATTAAAAAACACAACTGCTTTTATGCTTTCGATATTCGTGCGTTCATTACGAATCGATTCCAACTCGATTGTTATCTTTACAACATTTTAATCGATATCAAATCACACTTTATTATAGTGACGTTCCTAGACCGATTGCTGGCAACATTGAATATAGTGTTGCCAGTTATAATCGTTGTTTTGACCACACAGACCCTTGGGGGTGTCCCTAAATTATGTAATACGTCGTTTTGATCACAAAAATCCGCGCCTACATTTATGAACATATATTTTATTTATTTTTTTCATACATTTCGATTATGGTATGAGGTGATTATATGTCATATACCTTTTTATATATATTACGAAAGCTTTGTTAAATCAGGCCTCTAGCAACAATAAGGTAGATAGTATGAGTAGGCCTTTTTTTCAAAATAAACTTATTTGCCCAAAAACTTTGGATATAATTCTGAAGAACGTTTACGGGCATAATATAACTATCTCTTTCTTTAGATCGATGATAGAAAGGGAAGTAGGATGTTTTGAAAGATTCGTTATACGTTTTTTCATACAATTTAAATGAAAATTGTAGATTATTGGTTACAAACACAATCCTGGCTATTTTTTTGACAAAATCTACTCAAATATGTACGAGATTAAAGCGGCAATTTCCAAACTCAAGATGTTACGTCAAGAATTTTGACAGACCTTCATCCCTTTCTAACCGAAACTGACAGAAGAGGACAGCATTATGTTATCGTTCAAAAGAACTATAACCGAAATACAGAATACAACAATTATGGATAATATAATATAATATTAATATTTCTACATTTTTTGAGTCGTATTTTTAAAGTACAGCACATACACCGATATCTCGGCTTCCTACGCCCGAAACGGGCAACTAATGTTTTAACAGAAGTTTTTTTTAATACTAAAATTAGGACTTATAATGGCATATATACCATTTTCACTATAATTATTTTCGTTTAATACGTACAATGAGGCAAAGTACTACAGATATCGTACAAATTTGCTATCAGGATTTTTACGAGCATGGCCGAAAGGTTTCGAGCTCAAGTGGAGCCCTTAATCACCGATCGAAACAGAACACATTTTTAATAGATATCTCATTATCTTCTTTTATATAGCTTTTGAAACATAAACAAATGTTTTTATTGGAATTGCAAATGCAGTTAACTGTATATATTCCTTTATAAGTCCTATTTATGATAAAAGTACGTATAAGTAATCTCTCGTCGAATGTCGGTTAAAGTGGAGTAATGTAAGGGTCAGGTAATAAAATATGTGTTCATTCGGCGTCGGGGACTAGCATCACTCGGCGCGCCACGCGACCTTACCTGCGCGCAAACTCCGCCTTCATTGCTGGAAATTAATAAATACAAAATTAATCTTCTTATATATAAAAATGGATCGCAAAATGTGTTGGTAAGCGCATAACTGAAAAACGCCTGGACCAATTTTGCTAATTCTATTTTTGTTGTGTTTGTTATTGTGAGGAGAAGGTTCTTATCAAAGAAAATATTAGAAAAGTAGAGGGGAAGATTAGGAAAAAGTGACACTATGATAGCGAGATAGTTGGACCCGTGCGAAGCGGGGGAGGGCCGCTAGTATTACATAATTTTATTTCAATATTTATGAGAAACAAATAATTTACAAATTAAGCAATAGTTATCAAGCGGGAACCGCTCAGATTGGCTAGAATCGCGTGTACGAAACGCGCACAGGCCTACCAAACCAATCAATATCGAGTACTAGTTTAAAGCTCTGTTCCATAAAACTTTGATTACAAAAATAATATCCGTAAAGAATAAATAATTTATTACTGTGACTCCATAGTGTAGTGCAACTAGATTCACTTACGGACTTTTTTGTTATTTTTCATGAGTTAGATAATATTTTTTTCTATTACCTAAGAGTTAAGTTTCAATACTTAAATCTAAATGTCAAAAACGATACTTTTCCATTAAATTTATATGAAAAGCGAGTTATGACGTCATAATATTTTTGCGTCAAATAGCTTACTTATTTCTTAATAATTAGCTAAAACATATCTAAAACTTAGTGTATCAATCGATCAATGAATAAAAATATAGTTATTTTTCAATATTTTATTGTATTGAAACGTCGAATTAATTTATTTTTGCCCTAGGAAACTACCCAATTTAAACAAAACTGTAAACCTTTTGACGCAAATCCATTTGCTCAAAACTCTTAGATAATTTTCGTTATTAATATTTGGATAAGGGAAGTGGACTGTAGATCCATACTTCGCTGGTTCAAATCCGGCTCGAAGGACCAATGTTCAGGGTTGGATCAAGATAGAGTTAAAGGAGATAAGAGATTAAAGTCAGTTTAAGATAAAATCACTGTATTGTCTGTTTCCACAAACGTAAGATTAAGATTAATTTATACTAATATATAATTATAGGATGAAAGGTAAATGATATGGGATTATGATGAGTCACGCGCACGGTATGTGTCCGAATTACGTAAATGATGGAAACATACAGAGCGGGTGGCGCAATAATGCTGACCCAGGTAAACTTACTGTAGGGTGGTTGACCCGTACAAAATGAATTATAGTAATGTTGGACTGACCGTCTAATATTTCCTTTTTCATCTGGTTGAGTTGTTGCCTCATCTCCCGCATCATCTCCTGTTTGAACGCGTCCCACTCTGCCGCCGACACACAGCCACCATCGTTACCGCCATTCACTTGCTGGAAATAACATACATACACATTCAAGATTTTAAATGTGGGAGATTGACCGCCTTGTAACAATTAACAATTAGATGGTGTCAGTTCGGTGACCGACATTGCCGTCAACGATTTTCTTCCGGCACTCAACAAGCAAGGATTTGAGAAGACGCTTTAGTTTAGCCGTGAATTGAAACCGCCTATTAAGTGTAGTTTGTTTTGTGTTTCAAGTGTGGGAGGGCCATGCTTCGGCACTAATTGGTCGGCTCGGTCCGGAGTGATACCACGACCTCGCAGAAAACTGGCGTGAATGTTGCTTCACGCAAGTTTCCTTACATTACCAACGTTGTGTTTTACCATGTCAGTGAGGTTACTAGAATCGGAATTATTGCCTCCCCCCCCCCCACATCCTCAGTCCCTAATAACCTACAAGAAGCCGGCAACGCACTTGTAGTAAATCCTTTGGTACTACGAGAGTCCATGGGCGGCGCTGATTGCTTACCATCAGGCCGACTACTCGTTTCTCGACCTATGACATAAAAAATAGAGTTTTGCTCTCGTCTCTCTCCTGGTTTCATTGGATGGAGTGGTAAGTGCTTTTGTAATTTTTTTCATAAACAATAAACATGTTACATTATCTTTATACAGTTTGACTGCACGGTTGTCGCGGTGATTGGGCAATTGGCTGCCGCGCAGCGTGTCGCGGGTTCGATTCCCACCAGTCCCGGGTCTGGGTGTGATGTGTATGTAAAATTGTATGTTTGTAAACGCGCCCACGACAAAGGAGAAAACCATTTGGTGGGGCGAATTTTGGGGTGTAAAAAAGTACAGTATATTGTCAGACTAACCTTAAGTATAGTTTCCTCGCTGGCGGAACCAAACCTTTTGCGCACTGACCGCGGCGACTGTGGCTGTTGTTGGGCGATCGTCTCCGAATTAGCTGCAAGCGATTATACTGTTTATTGTAGTGTGTTTTTTTATTTTTTTTATTTATTATGAAGAATTATCAGTTTGATAATGACTAAGAGCCTGTTAAAAAAACAATACAGAATGTTTATTGAAAATAACGACTTACTCTAGTGAATTAATTAAGAAAAGCACTACTAGTTTCTAATCACAACGGGACTCTTATTCGTGAACAGCGTGCGCGTCGCGTCGCGACGACGTCGCGCAGCCAACAGTTGACTTGAAACTAGTAAAACTTTTCTTAGTTATTTTAAAAGAGTTACGCCCGGTTTCGGAAAGCCCCATAAATGTTAAAATCAACTTAATAGAAGAGATTAAATTGATTTTAACATTGAATGGCCTTTCGGAAACCGTCGGTATTTTCAGTAAATTTAGTGTGAAATATTAATTAATAATAATAATGTAAATTAATTATAGGACGGTTTGCGCAGTGCACGAGTTGTCACAGTCTTGATTCTGGCACGTAACAATTATATGTGTAATCCATAGATTGTTGTTTCGGCTGTGGGTGTGTCCAAGGACACCGGAAAAAAGAAACAAAAAAGTATTACCTAAAAATCGCGGGTTACTCACGTGTATATAACGCAGATGCTGCTCATGAGGAAGAACTCCTCTGTGGTGTAACCCGCGATTTTTAGTTAATTTAGTATGTCTCACGATAGTTCTTATATAAACAAAAAGTTTGTTGTGTCTGCAAAATTTTAGCAAAAATTTTGAGTCGTGAAGTAGGTCATGAGTCTTAATAAATGCTGGTAGTTGGCAAGTTAAGTATGGAGTGGTACTCACATGCGCCGTTGCATGCGGCGGCGGGCAGTCGGTGCGGGAGGGTCGCCGAGCGTTCCCACGTCTTCATCGGGGTAGAGGGCACAGACTCCGCTGACGACTCCTGCGGGGTAGAGAGGACATATTGTTATCAATAATCATGATCATCAACGATATTAATTATAATAAATGTGAAATTTTGTGAAAATGTATGTATGTTTGTTTGTTATTCTTTCACGCAAAAATGGTTGAACCGATTTGGTTGAAATTTGGTGTGACGATAGGTTGTATCCTGAATTATAAAAGCTAATAAAGGCTTTTTATCAACATAGGTACCACACGGGCGAAGCGGCGGGCAGAAGCTAGTCAATAATAAAGCACACAAAGAAGTTGCTAAGACAATTTCGATCCGACTCAACCAAATCGCCATTGTTGGGATGAGCATATATCATATGATGTTTATCGCATCCAATCCACCTTCCACTAACAAAAATCCGCAAGGATACAGACTTGGTAACTCCTCTGGTTTGAATAAGCGTCAGTAAAAGTGTGATACTCCCTCTTCCCTTCACCCTGGGCGAGTACAGTAATGATATGACATCCCTTCCTTAATTTTCCCTTCTCAAAAAAATAATAAAAGCGTGTATACCTCAGCCCGGTCGAGATGCGCCCGACGGCGCGCGAGGGTGCGTGCCATCTCGTTCATCATGCAGGACAGCGTGGCGGCGGGCCGGCCGGAGCCCCCGGACGACGACGACGACGAGCCTGAGTGCTCCGCCCCGCCGGGGGGCGAAGCCGCCTCCGCGCTCGTCTGACCGCTTGACTGACCATTTGTTTGCTAAGGAAGGTAATTTTGCATTACAAATACATCATCGTTATAAGTTTCTGCACTGATTGGCGTCATGCGTTGGTGTCGGCCATCGCTGAAAATCAGCGCCGCGACACTGTCTCGTATGGGGTCGCTGCATAATGCTGAGCGAGGGCCATTTCGCGAGCTTGGACGCATATTTTTCTCCTACCCTCTACTTTTGTTATATTGTAGTATAATTCTTAATGTATTTTTATTTTTACCTTTTTTTTATTATTGTTCGTTTTGTGTCTTTTATGCGTCCCAGACGCGAATAAATACTTTTTGTTTGTTTGTTTTGTTTGTTTGTTTGTTTGTTTGTTATCTATATATGAATGTACAACTTCTTTATTTTTCCAGAATTTTTTTCTTCATACTAGGTAAAATCTTCTCCAGTAAGATGAGCAAATTTCAGGGATTTTATAATGAATAAAATCCTTAATTGAATATAATATTTGCTCGACACACACATCACGTGACATCATCACCCTTTAAGTGCCTACTACTGAGCAAAGGCCTTTCGTCACACAGAAAAAGTTTGAGCATCAATCGTTACACTGCTAAAGGCGGATTTGTCCAGGTTATCCTTGCGATGTTTTTTTTCTTCACCTTATCTCAGTGGTGTGTATATAACTCGGAAAAAATATTGATACTTGCCAGGTTTCGAAACCACATGCATGAGAAGCGGGTTGCTTAACTTCCGGGCGACAGCGACACTATTGCATGTCATAAAAGATTAAAAAGGCTAACTGAAAGTGTCGCTTACCTTGGCTTGTCTCTTAAGCCTAGCTTGCTGCAACTGCGCAGCTAAACCGGAGACGTCGGGGGGCGGCGCGGGCGCGGGGGGCGGCGGCGGGGGCGGCGGCGAAGTGACGGAGGCCGCCGAGGGGGCAGGCGGCCCCGCGCTGGGGGGCGCGCCGCCTGCGCTCGGCGGCGGCGGCGGCGGCGGGGGACCCGACGCCACCACTTGCGGCGCTTGACTCTGCTACAGTAAATACACATTGTATATTACAATCATCATCATCATCAGCCTATAAGTTTATCTTCTGAGCAAAAACCTCTTCTAACACGGAGAAGTTATGAGCATTAATCACCAAGCTTGCTCAAAGCGGATTGGCAATTTAAAACTTATAACCAGAAAAAGTCCAGGTTTCCTCGTGTTTTTCTTCACCATATTATGTTAATATGTATGTATGTATATAGTATATTATATGTAACTTAAAATATCCATATTTTTTATGGGATGGTCGGGAAAGGAGCAGACGGATTACCCGATGGTAAGCAATCAACGCCGCCCATGGACACCCGCAACATCAAAGGAGTTACGAGTGCTTTGTCGGCCTTTTAGAAAGCTAAGGGTTTCAGATATTTAACGATTGGGAAGGGGAGGATAGGGGGAGGATTTGGGCCTTGAGTAACCTCAGTCGCACGGCGAAACACAATGCTGAGGTTGTTTTACGCCGGTTTTTTGTGAGGCCGTGGTATCACTCCGGTCTAGCCGACCCATTCGTGTCCAAGTTTTGACTCTCCCACAATATTAAACATTTTTATTTAATTAACTAACTCATTATTAATTCAGATAAAAAATACTAACCATTGGTGGTGGTTGTGGGGCTGCTGGCGGCGTAGGGGGTGCTAGGGGGCCCTGTGGAAAATTGCCATATACTTAAATTTTACGGTACAAAAACTTTTTATAAATTGATTTTTATGTGTTGGTGTATAAAGTTTTATTTCCATAAGCCTTTGTGTAAGTACACTAACATTCTCGGGGTTGAAATAATATATAAGTAGGTGTATATTCAAGGTATACTTACGTTAGCGGGGGGCGGCAGGTTCTGATGCGGGGGCACGGGCGGAGGCGCGGGCGCTCCGGGCGCCGCAGCCGATAGCGTCATGTTGGGTGGCATCGGAGCACTAGAACGAGGAAAAATATTATTTTAACTTAAAATATGCACACATCTTTTTTTTGTTACTATCTACTCTAACGCGGCTCTCTGATAAATGGACTATCCAACATAAAAAGAATTATTCAATTCGAACCAGTCGTTCTGCAGATTAGCGCGTTCAAACAAACTCACTCTACAGCTTTACAATATTAGTAGAGAGTTTCCTTGATTTTCTTGACATTTATTCATGTCTCTTCAAAGACAGTCAAATCATTTTTTTTAATCTATACAATTATTTACATCTGGAGAACAGCTGAACCGATTTCGTTAAAAATCGGTAAGGATTTAGATTGAGATAGTAGGTAGCTTAATTTAGATAGTAGGTAGGGTAGGTAGGTTAGGTACGATAAGTGCAGTAGGTAGGATAGGTACAGTAGGTATGGTATGTAGGATAGGTAGGGTAGGTAGGGTAGGTAGTATAAGTAGGGTAGGTAGGATAGGTACAGTAGGTAGAGTAGGTAGGGTAGGTACAGTAGGTATGGTATGTAGGATAGGTAGGATAGGTAGGGTAGGTAGGGTAGGTAGGGTAGGTAGGGTAGGTACAGTAGGTAGTGTAGGTAGGATAGGTAGGATAGGTAGGGTAGGTAGGGTAGGTAGGGTAGGTAGGGTAGGTAGTAGGTAGGATAGGTACAGTAGGTAGGATAAGTAGGGTAGGTAGGATAGGTACAGTAGGTAGGATAAGTAGGGTAGGTAGGATAGGTAAGTAGGTAGGGTAAGTAGGGTAGGTAGGGTAGGTAGTATAAGTAGGGTAGGTAGGATAGGTACAGTAGGTAGAGTAGGTAGGGTAGGTAAGATAAGTAGGGTACGTAGAATAGGTAGGGTAGGTAGAGTAGGTAGGGTAGGTAGGATAAGTACAGTAGGTAGGGTAGGTAGGATAAGTAGGGTAGGTAGGATAAGGTAGGGTAGGTAGGGTAGGTAGGGTAGGTAGGATAAGTAGGGTAGGTAGGATAGGTAGGGTAGAGAGGATAGGTAGGGTAGGTAGGATAGGTAGGGTAGGTAGGATAGGTAGGGTAGGTAGGTACAGTAGGTAGGATAAGTAGGGTAGGTAGGATAGGTACAGTAGGTAGGATAAGTAGGGTAGGTAGATAGGTACAGTACGGTAGGATAAGTAGGGGTGTAGTGTAGGATCACAGTAGGTAGGATAAGTAGGGTAGGTAGGATAGGTACAGTAGGTAGGATAAGTAGGTAGGGGTACAGTAGTAGGATAAGTAGAGGTAGGTACAGTAGGTAGGATAAGTAGGGTAGGGATAGGTACAGTAGGGAGTAGATAAGTAGGTAGTAAGTAGGGTAGGATACAGTAGGTAGGATAAGTAGGTAGGTAAGTAGGGTAGGTATAGGTACAGTAGGTAGGATATGTAGGGTAGGTAGGATAGGTACAGTAGGTAGGATAAGTAGGGTAGGTAGGATAGGTAGGGTAGAGAGGATAGGTAGGGTAGGTAGAGTAGGTAGGGTAGGTAGGATAGGTAGGATAGGTACAGTAGGTAGGATAAGTAGGGTAGGTAGGATAGGTACAGTAGGTAGGATAAGTAGGGTAGGTAGGATAGGTACAGTAGGTAGGATAAGTAGGGTAGGTAGGATAGGTACAGTAGGTAGGATAAGTAGGTAGGTTAGGATAGGTACAGTAGGTAGGATAAGTAGGGTAGGTAGGATAAGTAGGGTAGGTAGGATAGGTACAGTAGGTAGGATAAGTAGGGTAGGTAGGATAGGTACAGTAGGTAGGATAAGTAGGGTACAGGTAGGTAGGGTAGGTAGGATGGTACAGTAGGTAGGATAAGTAGGGTAGGTAGGATAGGTACAGTAGGTAGGATAAGTAGGGTAGGTAGGATAGGTACAGTAGGTAGGATAAGTAGGTAGGTAGGATAGGTACAGTAGGTAGGATAAGTAGGGTAGGTAGGATAGGTACAGTAGGTAGGATAAGTAGGGTAGGTAGGATAGGTACAGTAGGTAGGATAAGTAGGGTAGGTAGGATAGGTACAGTAGGTAGGATAAGTAGGGTAGGTAGGATAGGTACAGTAGGTAGGATAGGTACAGTAGGTAGGATAGGTAGGGTAGGTAGGATAAGTAGGTAAGTAGGTACGGAGGGTAGGTAGTATAGGTACAGTAGGTAGGATAAGTAGGTATAGGGTACAGTAGGTAGGATAAGTAGGGTAGGTAGGATAGGTACAGTAGGTAGGATAAGTAGGGTAGGTAGGATAGGTACAGTAGGTAGGATAGGTACAGTAGGTAGGATAAGTAGGGTAGGTAGGATAGGTACAGTAGGTAGGATAAGTAGGGTAGGTAGGATAGGTACAGTAGGTAGGATAAGTAGGGTAGGTAGGATAGGTAGGATAGGTACAGTAGGTAGGATAAGTAGGGTAGGTAGGATAGGTACAGTAGGTAGGATAAGTAGGGTAGGTAGGATAGGTACAGTAGGTAGGATAAGTAGGGTAGGTAGGATAGGTACAGTAGGTAGGATAAGTAGGGTAGGTAGGATAGGTACAGTAGGTAGGATAAGTAGGTAGGTAGGATAGGTAGGGTAGGTAGGGTAACGTAGGTAGGGTTAGTAGGATAGGTAGTAGGTAGGATAAGGGGTACAGTAGGTAGGATAAGTAGGGTAGGTAGGTATAGGTACAGTAGGTAGGATAAGTAGGGTAGGTAGGATAGGTACAGGATAGGTAGGGTAGGTAGAGTAGGTAGGGTAGGTAGGATAGGTAGGATAGGTACAGTAGGTAGGATAAGTAGGGTAGGTAGGATAGGTACAGTAGGTAGGATAAGTAGGGTAGGTAGGATAGGTACAGTAGGTAGGATAAGTAGGGGATAGGTACAGGATAGGTACAGTAGGTAGGTAGGGTAGGTAGGATAGGTACAGTAGGTAGGATAAGTAGGGTAGGTAGGATAGGTACAGTAGGTAGGATAAGTAGGGTAGGTAGGATAGGTACAGTAGTACAGTAGGTAGGATAAGTAGGGTAGGTATCAGGTAGGATAAGTACAGGTAGGATAAGTAGGTAGGTAGTACAGTAGGTAGTAGGATAGGTACAGTAGGTAGGATAGGAGTAGTACAGTAGTAGGATAGGTACAGTAGGTAGGTAAGTAGGGTAGGTAGGATAGGTACAGTAGGTAGGAGGTAAGTAGGTACAGTAGGTAGGATAAGTAGGGTAGGTAGGATACAGTATAGGTACAGTAGGTAGGATAAGTAGGGTAGGTAGGATAGGTACAGTAGGATAGTAGGGTAGGATAGTAGGGTAGGTACAGTAGGTAGGATAAGTAGGGTAGGTAGGATAGGTACAGTAGGTAGGATAAGTAGGGTAGGTAGGATAGGTACAGTAGGTAGGATAAGTAGGGTAGGTAGGATAGGTAGAGTAGGTAGGATAGGTAGGGTAGGTAGGATAGGTACAGTAGGTAGGATAAGTAGGGTAGGTAGGATAGGTACAGTAGGTAGGATAAGTAGGGTAGGTAGGATAGGTACAGTAGGTAGGATAAGTAGGGTAGGTAGGATAGGTACAGTAGGTAGGATAAGTAGGGTAGGTAGGATAGGTACCATACCTACTATTGTAGGATGGAGTAGGTACGATAAGTAGATTAAGTAGAGTAGGTAGGATAGAGTAGGGAAGGTATGGTAGGATAGGGTAGATAGAGTAGGGTAGATACTGTAAGTATGTAACTAGGTAGGGCAGCGTAGGTAGTCAAGTGACAGGAGCGAAGCCCCGAGCTGTGGGTAAAAGCTAGTTATAGATAATATAATAATTCCCACCTGTTGGTGCGATGGTGTCCAGGCGTGGGCTGGCTGGGCTGGTGGGGCAGTGTATGGTGCACACCGTGCGGGGGCGGCGCCGGGGGCGTCGGCTGCTGGGGCTGCTGAAACGATACATCATCATCATAAGCTGGAAGTCGGACAGAGAATCTAACTTCGCATTATTTAGCTCCCCAAGAAAAGAAATCACAATGCGAGATACCAGATCACAAAAAAAAAAACAAATTAAATTACACAAAGAATAGTTTCGCGCGGAATCTTAATCCGCAGTGTACTGCACATCAGATATAATCGTAAGTCTTAACCTTTGAATCGTGGTAACTCGAGACTCAATAGTAAGACAATAGGTTCGCGAACGCCGGCGTTCGCTTGGTGTTTTGATGAAATAATTATAAATGTTACTTGGGCTCTAAAAATCTATTAGAAAACCCTTGATCAATACTACAATTCTGTCTGATAAGCAGGAGCAGCAGTATCTATAACACAACATACCTGATGATGATGATGGGGCGCATGGTACTGGCTGGGGGCCGCGTGGTACTGCTGGTGCTGCTGGTTGTGGGGCGCGTGGTACTGTGGCTGCTGGAAGATGGCGGCGTCTTCGCGGGTCATTGTTCTGTCGTACATTATTGAGGGTTAATGGTGATGGTCTAAATCTAAATATATAAAAGGAGAAACTGACTGACTATCATATCAACGCACAGCCAAAACGACTAGACGTAGACAATTGGAACTTGAAAGGGACGTAGCTTAGGTACCGATAGGAGTAAAAGGAAAGGAATTCCCGGAATTCCCACGGGAACGGAAGGTAGCAGGAAAATCCTTGTATATGAAAAATCTAAACCGATTAAGTTAGACGCTTGAAATTTGGCATGCAGACTTCGCTATGAAGATGATTTATGGAGCAGAGGATTGATTTAAAAATAATTAAAAACAAGGAGAACGCTATATATTTTTTCATTCATACATGCAACGGTACTTAATTACAATTTCAAAGATGAAGACCGAATCAAAACTATTAATACTTTATTCAGTTTGAGTCGAATTTTGATAGAACCAATCATCCTACTAAGTAAAAATACTAATCATGAGCAAATGTAAAATTTTGTAAAAATGTATGTATGTACGTTTGTTATTCTTTAACTCAAAAACGGCTGAACCGATTGGTTGAAATTTGGTATGCAGATAGGCTGGACTGGTGATAATCATTATACCACGCGGGCGATGCCGCAGGCGGAAGCTAGTATACTATGAAGAAGCTGTATATGTATGAGATGAACCCTAGTTTCCTAGAGCACTAGTTTACCTGTACCCCATATCCTCGTCGTAGGTGTGAGCGTTGTTGTGCCCGTTGTAAGGCACGGGCGGATTGGGCGGCTGCGGCGGCGCCGGCGCATTGTTCGTCGCAGGCTTATTCGCCAGGATCTAAACAAATATTGTACTTATTGTAATGGTGTAAAGTGCATTATTTAATGAACTTTACATGTCGATAGATAATGGTCATCATTAGGAATATTAAAATACAAGTAGAAATGAAACTGCGAAGTCTGATCATGAGATGTTTCACAGGGATCTCGACAACTGTCTTGGATCCATTAGTTTTCTTTTATGTGATGTGGCGGTAAACGTACAGGCGCATTACCTGATAGTAACCAATCAGCGTCGACCATGAACACTCGCTACACTAAAGGAGTTCCAAATGCGTTGCTGACCTATTGGGAATGTACGGATTGGAGGAAGAATTCAGTCTTCTCTAAGCTAACTCGTAAGGCCAAACACAACGATGTGGTTGTTGTGACATCACTTCGGCCGAACCGACCCATGCGTGCCGAAACACCGCATTCCCACACTTAATATCATTAGAAAAACTCTCCTTTCAGGATAAGGGAAGCTATTTCTTTCCAAAAGGCAATCAAAGAACTTATAACTTCTTTGGTATGGACCAGTATTCTCGTTTACCCTCCATACCACAAAATGGTACAAAAAAACCTTTGCAACTGAAAGAAACCCTGTTACCAAGCACGAAGGATCTTAGAAATCCCTTACCTCCAAAGTATGCATCATGGCTCTCGCGAAGCTGTCGGCATCTTCTCTGCAGGAGAAGTTGAGGCCGTACACATGCCTCGCATCCCTCCACTGGTGGAAGGTGGCGGTCGCCTGGTTGTACTTTAGACCGCGGACTATTCCACAGTTTATCACCACCTAGGGAAGAAAGCCTTGTTGGTATATGGAACTGCTATAATGGTTAATGGATTGTTAAAGTTTTTTGACACCTCCTATGTGCTATTGGTCTTCGTGAGATGACCTTAATACTTAAGTCACTTTAAGAGACATATGTTCAATGACGTAGATTTATACATCATTGCATATGTTTGTCTCAATTTCAGTAGCAGAAACGGTCCAGTTTTCGCAATCCATTCCCTCACTCTTATAGAGCTGTAGTCCATTTTAAGAGTCCAATAACCACAATTCAACATTAGGAGATTTGAAGATTATAGTCGACTTTATTAGAACACAAATCTTGAAGAGTCCCTTGACTTGATTTATAATTTACGTTTTCTATTACATGGATTTACAAAATCGCTATCATCTAAAGTCAGCTCCAAAAGACGATCACAATTGGTTCAGCAGGATAAGCCAACCGAAACATTAACTTTCTTCACCTGAATTTGAACTTAATGTCTTCGGAGGAAAAACTAACCTCATGATCATTCAGCTTCCGTCCCACGACTCTGAAGGTATTGTGTTGGGTGTGGTGGTAGATGTGGACTTTGGAAAGGCCGGAGCTGGAGCCCGAGGGCACCCAGCGCTTCAGCACGTCGTCGTACACCATCACGGAGGCCCGGGCGCTGCTTATTGATTGTTCGCTGGTGGACAAAAGAGAAAAAAAATGTTAAAATTGCGAAAATAGAAATAATTTTACAGGTTTGCCTGTTGTTGTGTTTACTCTAGAGATGCGAAGAGTTAACATGTCAATCGTGGTAATAAGAGACTCAGTAGTAACACAATAGGTGTTCAATTCATCAAACCTCACGCGAACGCCGGCGTTCGTTTGATTTGATGAGTTTTTTTTATTTCATTGAAGAGAGTACTTAAAGCTGTATAGCCTGCTACTTATTGAACCACTGCTAAAAGGACCGGTTGCAAATGAAATAATTTGACATAAATTAAAACACCACCTTTACTTTCAACATGTGTGTGTGTGTGTGTGTGTGTGTGTGTTTTGTGTTGTGTATTTTTTATCAATGAAATTATTCCATCTATTTATGATCCTACCAGATCAGTGCATGGTGACATGTGTCGAACAAATACTCACTTCTTTAATTCAACTTGGTTGGTTGGCCTTACCTAGAAATCTCTATAATTTCATCAACTTACAATACAAAAAATTGCATAATAATAAATTATATAATTAATGTATCATACTGTCCAATTACTATCTTGAATCTCCTTTAACGTACAACATTGCCAGTTTATGATACATCAAAGTGGATTACGTAAAATTTCACTTATGTAACGCCACCTACAGTCGTCCCACGTAATTTAAATGAACCCACGTAAAGGGCATTACTTACTATTCATACGTAGGTATATGTTTATATATTGGCCAGAAGGTTAAGGCGTCTGCCTGCATGAGAAGTAGGATTTGAAATCTATCATGTGCCAATCAGAATTAGTTATGTATATGAGTATTAAAAAGAGTAACCATGGAGTTTCTTGCTCGTTCTTCTCCATCGGAATCTACACTTTGGAACGAGCAAATAGCTTCACTAAGAGGACTGACCGACAGACTGACAATATAGCTTCAAAATTTTTGTTTGACGTTCAAAAGTGCCTGTAAAGGTCTAATTGGAATAAATGATTTTTGACTTTTTTTGACTTATGGACTTTCTAAGATTTGTATATGGACACCACCTGACATGCGGCGAAGAAAATCGTCGTGAGGGAGTCTAGACTATTATAGGTCGGCAAACGAGCAGACGGATTACCTGATGGTAAGCAATCAGCGCCGCCTATGGACACTCGTAATATCAAAGGAGTTATTACAATACCGCCGACGTATCTTGGCGAGTCTGAAGTTAGCCGATTAGCTGCGCAGTACACAATTTTGTTCCTAAAAGATCCATTGTGCAGACAAACGGCTAACTTCAGACTCGCCAAGATACAGCGGCCGTACTGTACGAGTGCGTTACTGGCCTCTTGTGGGCGATTAGGGATTTAAGGATAGGGGATTTGAGGATTGAAGGCGGAGGATTCGGCTTCCAGTAACCTCACTCGCACGGCGAAACACAACTTAAGTATTGCTTCATTCCGGTCGAGTTGGAGGGCGGCCATTGGTGCCGAAACATGGCTCTTCCACATTTGATTAATGGTCAAAGCTTCTCCGTGTGAGAAGAAGCTTTTGCCCAGCATCAGGCTTTCAAAGGAAACCTAGAATCATTTTTGCAAAACTAGTCGAAAGTACAACGAAAACCTCAATATAATTAGTACAGACATTTAATTTTTGTATCACATCGTGCACAGAGCAGTCACGTACACCTTTATTCGGATATACATAAGGATACATTTCCAATAACGTTGTTCGGAAGGCTGTCACGTAATTGCAAGGCAAAATATCAGGGTAACATGTGTTTATGCTGTTGGTAACATTATGTAAACACAAACATTACGTCTGAATAGACTATTTACAGATAAATTGGTACAACAATGGGAAATTGACTTGGATATTTTAATCATGTTGTACACTTATTTAATTCTATTATTGATGACCATTTTTATTTCCTAACGGTTTCACCATTCGCAGTGTGTAAAAAATATGTATTACTAGATCTTAACCGAGGCGTCGCTTCCTTCATTTGACTACCTACTCTAGGTACTCTATGTACCCTACACTACCTACCCTTCTCTACCTACCCTACTCTACCTAACCAACACTAACTACTCTATCCTATCCTATGTCCTTCTCCCAGTTCTTAGCTATCTCCGTACGAATTTTCAACCACATCGGTTCAGGCGTTCTTGAGTTATAAATAGTGTAACTAACACGACTTCCTTTTTTTATATATAGATATATAGATTCCAGACATTAATCTATCTCTGTGCTAATTTCCATCATAATCATTTCAGCAGTTTTTACGTGAAAGCGTAACAAACATCCATCCTTAATTCCATCCTTTTTTTATACTTTTAGAGCTGCAATCGAGCCTTTGAGTGATGGCAAGCAATCGCCGCGTTAATGACAGAGAAGTAGCGAGTGCCTTTGGAAATTAAGAATTCGAGGGTTGGAAGATTAACGAATTGGAGATAGGAGTAAGAGTATTTCATCTTCAGTAACCTCACTCTCACAACGAAACACAACGCTGTGGTTATTTTACGCCCGGTTTTCTGTTAGACTGTGGTATAATTCTAATCGTACCGAAGCATGGCTCTCCCACACTTATAAACTACTAGCGACTCTCGCGCCGTTTCACCCGCTGCTCGGCTCCATTTACTCGTAGCGTGATGTTTTATGGCCTATAGCACTCAGTAACATTATACCTATCTATCAGTGAAAGAATTTCACGTGGCAATCCGACCAGCTGTTTAAAAGATTACCCCCTACATACAAACTTACCAATTTTACCTCTTTATAATATTAGTGTAGATCACGTTTATGGTAAGACTATAATGTCGGTATACCTGTACTTATTTCCCGTGGAGCGGGGGTATTTAAGGTCAAAGATAAAAAAAAATGTACTATTTACTTGATAAGTTAATTATAACAAAAAGTCCCTTGTCTTGGTCTTAATGAAATAAAAGATGTGACGAATACCGTACTTATATATTATAATATACCTAAAAAAAGTAGTTCAGTTACGTAAGAATCTCAACCGAGGACGGTCGTGTACTCGTGTGGGCCGTATGTATGGGTAGATTGCAACACAAGGTCACTTGTTAAAAGGTAACTTATTTTTTAATACACGAACACAAGTAGGCAGTATTTAACCTAAATATTGAACGTGGTACAATTGGTCGCGGTAACTAATACTTGGGCTTACGATGATCTTTATCTTCCCACGTAAATGTGGGGGCAGTCGTGATGGTTGCATTTATTTTCTAATTCGATAATAGCGGCAGAATAGGTTGTAGTGCAATAGTTTAATTTGTTTTATTCTTGTCTTTTTGTAAAAAGACATGGCATAATTATAGGGAATATGATTTTTAGAATGGAACGCTACGCACTGTACGCTCCGGTCTGGTTCTGGTCGGGCGACTAGCTACCCTTGCTCGAGATCATCGTTCAATCCCCGACGCCCTGCGAGCATCACTTAAGTGTGGGAGAGCCATGCTTCGGCACGAATGGGTCGACTCGACCAGAGTGATACCACGGCCTCACAGACGGCGTGAAACAACTACAGTGTTGTGTTTCGCCGTGTGAGTGAGGTTAACGGAGGCCCAATCCTTCCCCTCCCCCAATCCCTCTTCAATCCCTAAATCACCAAATTCCTAATCCTTAAACGGTCGGCAACGCACTCGTAACTCCTCCGTTGCAGGTGTTTATGGGCGGCGCTGATTGCTTACCATCAGGTAATCCGTCTGCTCGTTTGCCGACCTACTACATTAGAACAAAAAAATCACTTTTTCGCAGTAAGACGAGGCGACTTCCTAGTTCCTCTCGCTCCGCACCATGGCTTTGCCTTCCCTGAGGACAGGGCGGTACTCAGCCTAGGCTAGGGGCCGCCGTACCGCTATAATAGGTTAACCGTGTCCTCCAGGTAGTCTAATAGTGGGAATACCCGAATTCGGTCCTTTGTGAGTTTTCTAAATCTGTTATTTCACGATTTCGAAAAACATTATGACGTCATATGCTGCGATCTTCCATAAAATTGGAGGAAAAGTATCGTTTTTGATATTTCCATAAAAGTATTGAAATTTACTGGTTGGAATCCAAATTAACTATTGAACCATCTACACTATACTTCAATACACCCCTAACGTGTCTCTCTTCAAAAAGACAAAACTTTATAACACTCACAGACTCTCAACTGAGATAAACACTACTAGACACACTCGAGGCAGACGGTAACAGGTCGATATTACAGACACATCAATAGCTATCTATCTGGCTGGGGTACCAGACTCACCCCCGCTTCAACCCTAGTGTCTGGCGACTCAATTAATGTGCCCTAATCAGATCCTGATGGTCAGTCAACACAGAACAGTTTGAAAGTCAGCATGTTAATGAATATGTTTGGCGAGCTTTATATTATCAATGATCTTATTGAGAGAACTAAATTTAATAATAGATAAATAAAAACTGGACAGGATCGAGTTGAATATAACCCGAAGAAATAAAATAGGGGTGGTGATTTTTTAACACGCATTTTCGGAGTTAATTTTGATAAAAAAATAAAAAAACCGGCCAAGTGCGAGTCGGGCTCGCGCACAAAGGGTTCCGTAGCAGCAAATATAATAAACTTATTATCTCCCGCGCGAGACCACGCCCCGCAACTCACGCGCTGCAGCGCAGCGAGCGACCGATCTTCTTGAATCGATGTAATAATAATCTATAGGATTAACGCGTTTTAAAAATATTGGTTCGATGGATATGTTTAACCTATTATTACTCAACAATCACATTTGTAATATTAAACTTTATCAAATGCACAATGTATTTAAGGTACATTACTGGATAAGGATTAATGGCGTTTTGCTTGAATAAGCTAATATTTCTCGTAAAAAGTACCTACATTATAAAGATTTTATATCATCGCGGATTTTTAAAGGTGTACAATACTGTAGTATATTTTTTGATCTATCTTATAAGGTTCAGCCATCGTTTTCAGTGTAAGCACAATAACTTAACCAAAATTACAGTTAAATCAAC